TTTTTTTTCAGTGTCTGAAAGCAGCAGAATTGATTGGAACATTTGTCAGCCCTAAGGTATCTTTGAAGTTAATCACATCAGCCTTTGAGAAAACACCTATGCCGTCTCACATTATGATCCTGACTGCAGTGATTCGTGGTAGCCCGAAAGAGATCTTAAAGCCTCATTTGACTGATATTGGCAATGCATTGTCAAAAGAGGAGAACTGTCAAAGATCTGAAGAGGTAAGGAGAAATAGAAAATCCACAACAGTAATCCCAGACTTGATCTCCTGGTCAAATCTACTGTTTATTTCCCAACAATGTATTGACAATGATTGTTTCAGTACAAACTCAGAGAAGGAAGGCCCTTCATAAATCAGATATTTTTTTCCAAGTGTACCATAAGTAATGGCTGAGCCTGAAGATGATTTTTATTCCAATCTTTGATGAATATTCCTTGCTTGTTATATAGAGAAGAGCATCTCTTCTATGGAGATTGATAGCTTTGAGGATATTTTACTCTCTTTTCCAGGAGTAGTCAGCATCCAGATACAGCATTGTTAAAAATGTGCGAAAAGAATCCCTACAATTGTCCCCACATACAAAATCCCAGCCTTTTTTTTCTAGCAGAACTCTACTAGGCCTTTACTCTTAAGATAACCAAAAAAGGCCTAGTACTGTGTCTTCAGAAAAATCTTTAAAGCTTTGTGTTAGATTCTGACTTCCCTTTAAGAGAGTTATTCATGTGTGATAGGCTGAATCTAGTGTAATTGTCTTTTTGAGTCAATATAAGATACACATTTGAAATTCTTCCCTCATTAAGTTCTTCCCTAATGGAATGTGTATCAGTGATGCAGAAAATTTACCCTAATCTCTGTGAAGCCTGTGATGATTAGGACTTCATATAACTGGAAGCACCATAAACCTGGGTGTTCCAATAACAATCCCCTGGAGTATATCTGCAAAATTACCAAGAGATCTTAAGCTCACTGCTTCCATTTAATGTTATACACAGGAAACACATTCATCTGCAGCTGAAGCTTTTGACAGAATTGTTCTAGACTTTGGTTTTGGAAAGCAATCCTTCTCTATTTTAGGGCCTGAACAGTGCGCAGACACTGTTTAGCTAAGGATTGACCATGACCATGAGATTAATAACATTTACAGTTAACCTATTCCTAGGCTTCACTTTTTGAATGTGGAGGTTATAACAATGGCCTCTTCTGTTAATGACTCCACGTTTAATGTAACCTGACAGAATCATGGAATATCTGATGCACTTAATCATAGAAGTTATTATGAACTTTCAAGAATATTGACCTCCATTGATTTCAGTGGGATCAAGATAACATGCATTGTATTGCAACAATCGTGATAAATTGCCCAAGGTAAAAGCAGACCATGAGGTTTTCTTGGTTTATTTATTTAACCATTATTGTTGCATTCAAAATAGGCAGGCATAGAACAATACTTGAAAACAATATAACACATGTATTATTAATTAATAAATTGCCCTTAAGAATGAGAGAGTACCATTGGTAAGCATTCCAAAATGGTTTGATATTTTGTGCACAATGCAGCAATTCTGTGATTAAGAGGAAGGTCATTTATTTTATTAGCAGGAGAGGATAAATAGAAATAAAAGGCATGAAAGGAAGCTTATCTTGTGTGCTATAAACAGTAGAATATAGATCATCAAAACCAAATGAAGGTCATCAAAAAACTGACCCCAAATGCTAAATATGTTCCCAATGTAGTAGATTATATAAGTTTCGGATTTTACGGTTGTCATTTGCTATAGTTTTCTCTTAAAGAGAATATATAATATTTTCTAATGAAACCTAATACCGTTTGTGCTTTTATTAAAAACAGGTCTTTTACATGGAGCAGTTGCTTTCTTGTGCTCAAGCATTGATTGAAGTGTGCCAGGAAGACTGCAAAGAAATTAGTTTGCAGCTAATGAAAGTTTTGGTAACAGTAATGGCAATACCTAGTTCTCAGCACCTGAAAGAAAAGGTAAACTGTGACCCGCTTTAATATTTTTGTAAAGTTCTGATTTTAGTATTGATAAGCATTTTTTTAAAATAAAAATAAAAAACAAATGAATTAACAAGCCATTCTCATATAGTATAATCAGG